AGATCAATCAAAACCCTTCATGCTGTTAATATTTAAATAGATTAGGCTAGATTTTTTAAGACCATTAATGCAGTGCAAAAGTGAAGTAGGGCTGCAACCAAAGATTATTTTCAAATAGATCAATGTTGATTATTCTTCCGATTAATCGGATAGCCAAAGATTCTTGAAAGAAGACTTTTAACGAAATTAAACCAGATGAAACTTTTCTACTTGTGGAGTTCTGGATTGAGCATATTGATGGACGAAATTAATTTTTCAAAATCTTAAATGCATAAATGTTTGTAATTTTTTTTACAATCTTGGTATATTAACTGCTCTAAGTGTGTCGCTCTGTCAGCTAAAGGCATGTTTTAGAGTCTGTATACTCCAGTTAACAATTAATCGATTATTAAATTAGTTGACTATTACTTAGATTATCGATTAATCCCGATTGACTGATTGTTTCAGACCTAAAGTTAAGAGCAAATTATGATTTTCGTCCTTTTGCCTCATATATTGATCATGGCAATCGCAAACAGTCTTAAACCAGCGCACCCGATTTAAGCTTGTTTGTAACTAATTCTTCTCATTTTAAAACATTCATGCGAATAAAACTCCAATCATAAAATCCTTTCATAGGGGCAGATTAAATAGCTGAAAAGGATAAAAGCAGATTTACATAGATGTCTTTCTTTATACCAATGGTACATTCTAATGAGTTGGTCAATAATATACGGTAACTTAAAGAAAAAGATACAGCAAAGAGCAAAGGTTTTGGATCACAGGGAGCATTAAATATCTATTTTGTAAGTTATTTTGACCTATCCTTGTTTTTAAATAGCTATCTTGGCTAAAACCGATAGCTGGGTAGTATTTACGCTTTCTGAAAACGAATTTATTTTGCGCCTTGGTCAATTGATCAGCTTTCCTAGTCAGAACTTTGCTTTTTCTGCAAGCTGAAGTTGTTAAGGGAGCTACTGACTTCTGCAAGAACAATTTTAGTTGATCCAGAGAATCATTAGTTTCTAATGCATCTTCTTTGTTGAGGCTGTTTTTTAAAGGACATTAATTTGCTAATCTTGGCAATTAAATCATGTAAGATTATTGAATCTTACGTTATATGCTCAATTCTCCCATTTTGCCATTTTGTGGGTATTTTAGGGTATTTAAATCTTCTGTGATCAATATTTGAAAATCTACTCTTAATTTTTGCAAATACATGGATTAATTGACTATTTAAGCAGAACATCTTTGTGTGTAGAGCTATGAAACTAAAAAGCAGACATCATGAAAGGGAACTTGGGTGTATATGTAAATTTATGCCGCCTCTGACATTTTAATCTGTCAAAAGTAGAACGTTGTTCAACAAGGCTAATACGAGATTAGTAGCTCAAAACATTGCATAAGGGACTTAACTATTTTCTTTCTCTTAGGAAGTAAACTATAAAATTAAACTATATTCATTGGTCATTTAAAAGAAAGCAGATTTGTTGAACTAAATGTGAGTGTAATCTAGTGTGCATAAACTGGAACAAGTGGTTCTGAGCTGGTTGGTTCTAAAAATGTATTTACTCAAAAAAAGGAAGCTAACCATAAAAAGGTGGTGCTTGTTGTGGTGACTCAGGCCTAATTCTAACTGTTGGCTCTGTCCTCATGTGCCCCTGCTTCCTCAGCTCCTTTCTTCTGTTTATGAGTAATCTCATCTTCCTCCTCTTACGTCCCATGATCTCCCCACATGTCCCAATCTTTTTTTGTGGTTCTCGTCTGTGGCTCTTATTGTCTTCTTGCCACGACGCAGTCTGTCTAGAACTGTAGTCTGAGTTCAGTTGAACTTAAAAACAGTCTGGTTCTGAATCTTCCACTTTGTTCAAAGATGTTTTTTTTTACTTGGGTGGGAGTTATAATTGCAGCCTATGGTTGTCCGTCCCCCTAGTCGTCATATTTCTGCTAGTTCTGGACTTGAAAATGATTGTCTGCTGTCATTCTAATTTAAATCATATTTAGGCTGTTGTGGCTAAGGTTTTTTTTTTTTTTTTTTAAAGTGAATTTAGGGCATTCTTGCATTTATAGAGCAGCTTTAACCGCAATGCAAGACTGGGACACATGCTGTTTCATTTCTTGGAAACCTTTTGAGGTTTTTGATTGGAATGCACCTAATTTAGTTTGCCTGACTTTAGAGGAGATTTCTTGTTTTTTTTCCCACAAAGATGACAAATCCTGGACTCTGACTTTGCTTTGTCAGTTTACAGTAATGCTTTAAGCGTCATTTACAGCTTTCTTCATGTAGAAAGAGTTACCTTTTTTCTCCAGCTCTTTCTCGTTCTCACATCCTCCTTGAAGTCTCACACCCAAGACAAAAAAAAAATGGAAATCGCACTCAGTTTAATTCTGGAAAAATTAAAGCACAACTCACTCAAAAATGAACTTTTTTTTGTGCTAATAACCTATATACCTTAGGACTGTACGCTTGGCTTTCTTACCAGGAGCACTAGTGCTTCCAAAAAAAAAAAAAAAATTTAAATTTGGAAGCACAGATAAAACTTACACTATGAATTATCTTAAATAGCAAAGTCACAAACTCTTAACTACCCGCCTGGTTGTGCCTTCTGCAATTTAATGTTGTTCTCACACTCAATCCCATCGAAGAGTTGGATCCAATCTGATTTAAATCTATGAATCTTGTTAGCAGGGTCACTAAAATGATCCTAACACTGCCTGTCTGCTGATGTCTTCCATTTAAAATAAAAAAATAAAGACTCATTACCTTCAACTAAATAATAATTTATGCAGGTTTTACCTTAACCTTTTTGCATATGCATATTAGTCATATTGGATAATGATTAGACTTCATACTGTAGGTCCATGCCTCATGCTGTCAGAGTGTACTGGTATGAACCAAAGGGGTTATACCTCAGTTATGCTGAGGTGAGGGTTCAGGACTGTTGCTGATCACTTCCAGCCTTAATTGTTTATGGGGTCTTCAAAGGACCCAGCCTACACGGCAGGGTTCTAACAATGATTTTCTTATGAGCATAGCGGAGATATAGACGCTGCAATCATATTTTGCATATTATAAGTACAGGAACATCAGCAACAAGTGATTAAAAACATTCCAAATGTTTTTAAAACTCAGTATAAACTTTATAAAACATTTCCTAGTGTCCCAGAAGGTTATTTTTCAGAAGGTTATTGTCAGTCGTTAGACTTTATCATTATTATCATCATCATCTTCTTCACTACAGATAACAAGCCAAATAAGCTGTTTACATTCCTGCTAATGTTTACACAGTCTATAAAGTGCCTCTTTATTTGCCTTTCTTAACCAGAAGACATTTTGATGTTGATTTAAATATGTACATGTAAAAAAAAAAAAAAGAAAAAACCAATTTATTTTTTCCTGTTAATACGGCTTATGTGAATGTGTGCCTCCATTTGCCTGTTGGTTTGCTGCTGACATACTTGAATCCCCCCTTTGAGGGGCAAATAAATTCTTTATTTCACTAGTTTTCATTCCAGATTCCCTGACATGTCATCATGATATTTCACAGTTAAACTGAAATCTAAACTGACTCGTTTGGTTTATGCAGCTGAGAAAGTGGGTCTGGAGGGAGGAATACCTGTAGAAATGGCTCCGTCACCCTTTGCAGACTGTTGATGTCAGTGACCTCATTTTTAATCTGTGCTGGTGCTCAGTGAATTGCTTCGTAAAATCTTTTTATCTAGTTTCTTCATGCTGTTAGATGTTTTCCATTTAAAGTGCAACTAAAACCGGTGAAAAAGTATAAAAGTTGCTGTATTCTCCAGTAAAAGCGAGAAATTGGTTCTTGCTCCTGCAACTGTGAGGACAAAGTGACATCATTTTGTTCTCTCTGTCCTACCTCGGGTTTTTTTACTGCTTGCATGTTTTTTTTTCTGCAATTGTGAGACAGTAGTATGATTGGTCAGGATTTGGATGGGGTTATTAAATTGGAAAATCTGTTTTATGTCTGGGTTGGAGATTCCTCTCTTATTTCAGTATCGTTATCTCCAACTCGCCACTGAAGCTTCTGCTTAAGTATGAAGCGCTCCATCTGTACTCTTAAGTCAGAATTAGGGCTGAAACACTTAATTGGATTAATTGATTATTAAAATAATCAATTCATTTACCAATCAATTAATTGTTAAATTGAGTTTAGAGACTCTAAAACACGCCTTTAGCTGAAAGAGCTATGAGCTAGAATAGTACAAAAATATCCAAATATTTGGTAGACAAGATGAAAAACCTTTTTTGTTTTTTTGTTTATTTATGTGCTCTTTACAGATGCTGTGAAATGGCACAGTTTTACCGTCACTTTTAGGTTTTTTTCTAAAATCTTTAAGGAACGTTTTTGCCATTTATTAATTTAAACAATTGATAGAATAATCAATTAGCAAAATAGTTAAGTGCAGCCCTAGTCAGAAAACGCACAAACCTAATTTGTAGTTTTTGAAGTTTTTTTTTTTCCTGTCAGAAACAGTTTGTGGTTCAGTTAATCTTTAAGGGATTTTACAGGTTTGACAATAATTAATTGTGTTTGTATCCATTGAATTTAGACTGTTATTACCTTGTATGGGATTTTCCCTTTTTAAGAAATTAATGATGTAATGTAGCTATTGCAAACATTTGATGACAGCCACCTCCAAGGGTTGCCCAACCAATTATTACCGTTCATAGGAGGCCTCATTGGTTTGAGCAGCTCATTTTTTTTGGTAACAAATGAAATGATCATTATTTCCTCTGTAACGTCACTCAATTCTCTTAGATAACACTAAATTGTTTTGTGTTCTGTGCAGATTTAAATGTTAAATTTCCCCCTAAGCTCTGGTTAAAACTTTTCAAATGCCCCATCTCATTCTCTCTTTATTGTCTCCATGGTGACGACAGATCATCACTAAAGCAGCTGCAACAAAAAAGCCTCAACATCTCTCTTGCTCTCCTCCTTTGTTGTCAATCCCCCTGTATTTCCCTGACCCCCCCCCCCCCCCCCCCCCCTGTCTTCCAGTTCAGCCAGGTGTGTCTCATCAGCCACCTTCCAGCCTTCTTCCCACCACTGTCGAGGTAGCTATGGCGACCAGCGCTGTGCCAAGCGACAACTTGCCAACGTATAAACTGGTGGTGGTGGGAGACGGCGGCGTTGGGAAAAGCGCTTTAACCATCCAGTTTTTCCAGAAGATCTTTGTGCCAGACTACGATCCCACTATTGAGGACTCGTACCTCAAACACACTGAAATAGATGGACAGTGGGCAATACTGGATGGTGAGTTTGTGGAATACATCACTCATTTTGTTAACAAACCTGGTTAACCAGCTCTCTGACACCAATAATAACACAGTGAGGGGTTTGTATGTGGAAGAAATTATGTAACATCAAACGACTCTCTGTTCTGCTGTAAAGTGCCTGTTTCATTTAGGGAGATGGTTTACATCATTTAAATGATAATTTGAGAAAGCTTAGAAAAAAAAATCAATACTCTGAATCCTGTATCCAGATACAATACTAAACTGTCATGGTAATGAAACTAAAGACAAGTGTTGTTTGCATATTTTTAATACCGTTTATTTTAGATATCTGGTTTATTTGCACATTTAAAGAATAATACTCTGAAAACCTTGAAATATTGTCAGACTTTGTTAGATTTGGGTTATTTACTTGGCAATTATTTGAACACTTACTTAACTAGCATCAGTGAGTGTAGTGAAAAAGCAAGCTCCATGCTGAGATTAAAAATGTTTTTTTTTTTTTTTTATCTGAATAGAAATGCTTTTTTTAGGCCTTTAATTATGTGTAATATTTTTTATCCACATGGTATCGAATTTGGTGTAGGGACGAGGTCGCGGATTAGCAGACCGGGGTCCGGATCCGGACCCAACCTGATTTCAAACATTTAAAAATTACCGCATGTTGTCCAATGACAGTATCTAATTTCACTTGCACCGCTCCTCCTGTTAATATGGTAAAGCCCTCCGGCGCGCCCGGGACCAGGCTGCATGTGATGCAAATTAGCCAATGAGCTGCTGTCAGTTTGCGTGGCTGCTGCTAGTTACTTTTAGACACAGAAGGCAAACCGTTGGAAGCCGGGCGATGGGAAAGAAGGAGAAAATGATGAGAAAAGGAGAGCAGAGAAAGTGTGGACTGCTGGAAGAACTGCTGTGAACTGGTGAAAGAAAAGTGAAATGGCGTGCTCAAAGATGGCCCTGCACATTTAGAGGATCTTTGGCTCAACTGCTGCGAAGCTGTGAAGCAGGATTCTCCAACATGAACAGTTTTAAAAATAAATATCAATCCAGGCTCACGAATAACTACCCAGGTTTAAAGCCTTGTAGGGCAGCCTAAAGCCCACTGCTCTCATTAAGCAATAAAAAAAGAAAGCAAAACACAAACTGTGAGCTCAGGTGTTTTATAAAATATGTGATTCAGGAAATTTTCTGAAAGATTGTTGTTCTCTACTTAAAAAAAAACACTTTAGATTTTAAAAAACGGAAAAATGTTCAATTTTTTTGAATATGTTTTTATTAAAATTCAATGTATAATATGGATGCATAAACACCTCATTTTATTTCAGTATTAAATTCTGTTTAAAGTAAAAGATTATAATTAAAAATGTCTCCGGATATTTACTGGCTGATGATTTTCTTTTTTCAGACCCTGCTGATTTTCAATTGGTTATAATTGGCGATATGGAAAAACTCAAATATCATGATATGGACTTTTTTTTTTTTTATCACAATAACGATGTGTACTGCAATATGCCCCAATTAAGTAAATTGCATTCTTTTTTTTTTTAAGTGACATTTACAGAACTGTCACAAATGAAAAAAATGTATTGTAGTGCAGCAACATATATACATTAGATGACAACAGATGAGGCGGAGGTAGTGCTAAAGAAGCCTTCACATATTTTCCAAAATCCTACAGGTATTAAAATTTAATTACACCATAATCTTTGGCTGGCTATGGTTTCTATTTTTGCAACTTCCCTTCACTGTTGTACAACTTATTTTACATTCTGCATGATGTCACTTATGTATTCTTTTTTAGGAGATAGTATTTTGTTGTGTTGCCGTTGGGTGAAGAAACAGCCTTGTAGCATAGTTTGCAAATAAGCGTTGGTCTGCTCCGTGTCAGACCTCTTAAATCCAAATTATAACCAAATCAGACGTACCTGCTCTTTTTGGTAACAGTGCTTCATATTGGACCGCCTGCTTAGCTTTCACTGTTTGTTGCAACCATGGGTTTAAGACGTCAGCCTCCTGCGTCTCCATCACACCTCATGAGTTAGGTAACGTAAATCATGTCATAAACCTGCGCGCGAGTCAAAAGCCTAAAAGCAGCATCATGTTGCAAAATCACAAGATGGCACTTCTTTGTGGATTAAAAAAGAAAAATTTTGTTTTTCGCTTATAAAAACTGTGTGTAAGCTACTTGACTACACTAATAAGTTCGTCGTAGTCAACCTTAGGAAATATTAGCTTTAATATGAGGAAAAAAAGGTACTAGAAACCACAGAATAATATTAGCGAAATAGACAGATGATTTTCTATCATCTGTAGAATATGTACTATTCTATTGCCCAGCCCTGTCACGAGTTTGAAAGGTTAGTTTCCTGACACCTTACATCTGAATGGACTTCAAGGACACTGTCCAGAAAATCAAACGCATCATATTTAGCACTAATGCTTCATATAAACTCAAAACCAAGCAGCCAGAACCTAGGAACCTTAAAGTCAGGGAAACATCTATTCGCTTTTATTTTCCAGATTCCCATTGAGGGCGTGGACCTCATGCAAAAAGTGAACTACTATTTTACATAGAAATAAATAGCCAGTGGATGAATATTGTCAGACATTTTGGTAATTCAATTATTTTGTTTTAAACTTTAAAATTCCAAATCTAAGTTTCCATGAGAGTGAATTTGCACAAAATGTAGACATATTCAATGTATTAGAAAAATAAAGATGTTGGCACCATGAAAACCAAGCAGCAACTGTTTGAAAACAACTCAGACAAGCTTTCAAGCATGGTGGTGGCGACATGTTTTTTTTAAACTTTCCTTGTATCAAGCAGTATTTTGATGAACTCTGATCAGTTTGTGCCCTTACATCTACCCAGTGCTGGACACAGCCGGCCAGGAGGAGTTCAGTGCAATGAGGGAGCAGTACATGAGGACGGGAGACGGTTTCCTCATCGTGTTTTCCGTCACGGACAAGGCCAGCTTCGAACATGTCGACAGGTTCCATCAACTCATACTACGGGTCAAAGACAGGTGAGATGAAGCGCCGCTGACGCTCTCAGCGAACAGTTAATCGTCATAAATCTAGTGTCTGGACAGAAAATGAGAGAAGCTGGGTTTGTTGTTTTAAAAATATCATGCAGAGTATTTTGACGTTTGATTGATCATCTTTCTTTACAGGGAAAAGAGCGAATTTTGTCCTATTGCTATGAACCGTGGGCCCCCAAAGAATGTGTACTCGGCATTTTTAAATATAGCATTTCTAATTTGAAAAAGCCATTTATATAATAATAAAACTGTGTTTCTTTGCTTCCATTTAAAATAATTCAATAATTTTCTTATTTTAATATACTAGCTAAATAATTTTAAAATAGATCTGCAAAACTTAGAGTATCTGAGAAGAAAAGCAGAAGTTACTCTCTTTGGATTTCTGTCTGCTCTGATATTTTTATCACGCATGTGATGTTGTCAGAGCCTCCTGCAGTTTTTTTTCTCTTTTATTTCTGAGTCAGCAGGGCTGGGTCATTAGGCAAAGAGGAAAATGTGTTATTGCAAAGAATTTAGGATAAAAACAGCTAAGTGTCAGAGATGTTGAGTAGAACAGAGTTCTTCAATCTATGGTTGTGCCTGGAAATAAAACGAGAAATAAAAAGTTGAACTGAGTACGCTGCTGTCTACATTTGCTCAAACTTTAAACTTTTTTTTTTTTTTCAGAAGGCTGAAGTGTTGCAGAAATGTTGCACCTCTCAAACACTCTACCCAGCTGATGTTCTGAATGCTGTGACATTTAAGATGTTTGCTGGAGGCTTTAATATTAAAGAACAGATGCTACCAGTTAATTATATAGCAGCAGTTGGATAATAGATTTGTCTTTTAATTATTTAAAATTTCTTTTAAAAAGTATGGTTTTTTTTTCTTTACATTTAGAGAGGCCTTCCCAATGGTGCTGGTTGCTAACAAAGTGGACTTGGTTCATCTGAGGAAGGTAACAACAGACCAGGGCCAAGAGATGGCTGCCAAACATAACGTGAGTCCTAAAGCTGTAATTAAAGGTCACACACAGCAATGCTGTCTCTTTTCTGTGCAAACTGTTTTATTTAGTAGAGTTTAGTACAAACAAAATATGCAAAGGCACAAAACAACTATATAGACCAAAATAATCTGTTAAAGTGCTTGTGGAGATTCTCAGTCATCCAGGTCATAGTCATTACAAAAAGCCTTGTAATGGCTTAGAATGTGCATGATTTCTAAGCCATTACAAGGCTTTTGTTGGGCTACTCTATAAAAGCTTGGAACTCAATGTTAATCCAGACATTTTGAATTAAAAATAGCTTCCTGGAAGGGAAGCGAAATTTCAGCAAACTTGGGAAAACAAATCTGTTAATATGTTTATATGCAAAACTGAATTTATAGTAGACTTTTGAGGTTGAAAAACATCAGCAGCTCATAGGATAGCTCGGGGGTCGGCAACCTGCGGCTGCAGAGCCGCATGCGGCTCTTTAGCCTCCCCCTTGTGGCTCCCTGGAGCTTTTTCAAAAATTTATGAAAATCGATTTTTTGTTTTGTTTTAATATGGTGTGCAGGAGGTCATACAAAAATTTATTATGTTTTCCAATGCTGTAAACACTTGTATTATAAAAAAATTTAAACAATAATTGCCGTCATAGCCATAGACATCAGTGGTCATAACTTGGAACCAGCGTGGGGCGGTGCCAGGTAAACAAAGTGGTGGGTGTGTCTCGGAATATGGATCCCAAACGAAAAAAAGGAAGATGGTTGATAAGAAATGAGGATTCAAATAGACCGAATCATTTGCTTTCATTATCGATGCTGAAGGATTGCCTGTATTTCGCTTTGTAATGAGAGGGTGTCAAAAAAAAAAGAAAAACTTGGAAAGGCATTTCCAGGGAAGGCTAAATCTGCAGCCCACCACCAAGCTGGGAGTGAGAGAAAAGGTGCGTTTGCAGAACTTCTGGATAAATTAGAGGAGCGCAAAAATAGATTTAAGAAGTGGATTGCATTTCCAAACTACTACTACTACTGCTGCTAGTTTGGTTGCAAGGATGGAAAACCGTCCACAGATCAAACAGGTAGCGCTCTGATGCAGGTACAGGTGCTGGTCATAAAATTAGAATATCATGAAAAAGTAGATTGATTTCAGTAATTCCATTTAAAAAGTGAAACTTGTATATTATATTCATACATTACATACAAACTCATATATTTCAGATGTTTATTTTGTTTAATTTTGATGATTACAAATGACAACAAATGAAAATCTCAAATTCATCATATCAGAAAATTAGAATATTACTGAAGACCAATAAAAACAAAGGATTTATAGAAATGTTGGCCAACTGAAAAGTATGAACATGAAAAGTATGAGCATGTACAGCACTCAGTATTTAGTTGGGCCTCCTTTGGCCTGTATTACTGCAGCAATGCGGCGTGGCATGGAGTCGATCAGTCTGTGGCACTGCTCAGGTGTTATGATAGCCCAGGTTGCTCTAATAGTGGCTTTTAGCTCTTCTGAATTGTTGGGTCTGGTGTATTGCATCTTCTTCTTCACAATACCCCATAGATTTTCTATGGGGTTAAGGTCAGGAGAGTTTGCTGGCCAATTAAGAACAGGGATACCATGGTCCTTCAACCAGGTACTGGTAGCTTTGGCACTGTGTGCAGGTGCCAAGTCCTGTTGGAAAATGAAATCTGCATCTCCAAAAAGTTGGTCAGCTGCAGGAAGCATGAAGTGCTCTAAAACTTCCTGGTATGTGGCTGCGTTGACCCTGGACCTCAGAAAACACAATGGACCAACACCAGCAGATGACATGGCACCCCAAACCATCACTGACTGTGGAAACTTTACACTGGACTTCAAGCAACGTGGATGAAGTGCCTCTCTTCTTTTCCTCCAGACTCTGGGACCTTGATTTCCAAAGGAAATGCAAAATTTACTTTCATCAGAGAACATGACTTTGGACCACTCACCAGCAGTCCAGTCCTGTTTCTCTTTAGCCCAGGCAAGACGCTTCTGACGCTGTCTGTGGTTCAAGAGTGGCTTGACACAAGGAATGCGACAGCAGAAACCCATGTCTTTCATACGTCTGTGTGTGGTGGTTCTTGAAGCACTCACTCCAGCTGCAGTCCACTCTTTGTGAATCTCCCCCACATTTTTGAATGGGTTTTGTTTCACAATCCTCTCCAGGGTGCGGTTATCTCTCTTGCTTGTACACTTTTTTCGACCACATCTTTTCCTTCCCTTCGCCTCTCTATTAATGTGCTTGGACACTGAGCTCTGTGAACAGCCAGCCTCTTTAGCGATGACCTTTTGTGTCTTGCCCTCCTTGTGCAAGGTGTCGATGGTCGTCTTTTGGACAACTGTCAAGTCAGCAGTCTTCCCCATGATTGTGTAGCCTATAGAACTAGACTGAAAGACCATTTAAAGGCTTTTGCAGGTGGTTTGAGTTAATTAGCTGATTAGAGTGTGGCACCAGGGGCCATCAATTTTGAACCTTTTCACAATATTCTAATTTTCTGATATGATGAATTTGAGATTTTCATTTGTTGTCATTTGTAATCATCAAAATTAAACAAAATAAACATCTGAAATATATGAGTTTGTATGTAATGTATGAATATAATATACAAGTTTCACTTTTTAAATGGAATTACTGAAATCAATCTACTTTTTCATGATATTCTAATTTTATGACCAGCACCTGTATGTGAACTTGATTTTTTTCCCCTAAATCCAAAAACTATTAATCAGACCAAGGAATGATGGTGACGGAGGATGTGGGATTTCGGGGTTAGAGAGCACAGCTCTGATGTCAGTTCCTGCTTGGCTGCTCATGACTCAATCAACTCCTCCCAACAGAAACACGTCGGCCATAGAAAGATTCCTGTATTGTGTTTCTATAATTTCATCAATGCAACAAAACTTAAACCGCGCAGTGAAGGTGGTGAAGCGGTGCGCAATGGGAGCATTCACTGTTCCTCCGTCACCTCAGGCTACTATGTGAAGTTTGCTTCAGGATAAGCATTTAATCATGAATGCTTATTATATATTTAAGCCCATATAGTCCTTTTCTATAGTGGGATAATACACTTAGAGCCCGTGCTGCTATACGAGGCTTATATAAGGCTTTTACATTTTTGCGGCTCCAGACAAATTTATTATTTATTTTTTTTTGGTCCAATATGGCTCTTTGAGTAGTTTGGGTTGCCGACCCCTGGGATAGCTGAATGGGAGTGAAAAGTCATAAAAAATAAATAAATTTGTGAACTATTTACAAAATGGCACTTTCCTAAGAAATTTAATTCAGTTTTTTTATATAGCGCCAATTCATAACACATGTCATCTCAAGGCACTTCAGTCAAAGTTTTCTATCTAAGGTAAACCAGTTGTTTGCATCGACTAATTGACTCGAAGGCAATCCCTCACACTATGCATGCTTGTAGCGACAGTGGAGAGGAAAAACTCCCTTTATTGGATTAACCTAATAAAAGCCCTGCTGATTTCTAGTTATTACACATAGAGGAAATCTGTGTGGTTAGATGATGGATGATTAATGGTGCTGAGGTTTCCATAAAAAAAGTTCCAAAAGGAAAATTATTTTCAATAGTTAAACCTTAAAATCATCAACTTATGCTCAGACAACTTTTATATATATATATATATATATATATATATATATATATATATATATATAGCAGTGTATAAATGTCATTGCAAGGCACTTTATCAGGCAAATATGTTTGATTTACATACAGAATTAAATTACCAGTAAAATCTAAACAGATTTGAATTCAGTTATATATGCTGCAAATCACCTAAGTTTATACGGTTTATAAGTTGGAGCCTTCTGCTTCCTTAAATCTGGTTATTTCTATTTTTCCTCAGATTACTTATATTGAAACCAGTGCAAAGGATCCTCCAATGAACGTGGACAAAGCCTTCCATGAGCTGGTTCGGGTTATAAGGTAACTTTGATTTCTTAACAAACATGATTGATGGTTTTGATTTTAGGACAATGACATCTACATGTCGTATCTAGTAACATTTGGTTTATGACTCTGTATTTTTAGTGCATTTCTAAGTTCTCAAAAATTGGCAGCTTTAAGAGGAAGTAATGGTGCTAGCTAGGAGGGGTTTCAGGAAACCTGCAAAACATGAGAAAATGATGAATCTATTTAGTCATTTTATGTCCGTTTTTGTCTTGCTGTAGAATTTCAGAGGAATTAACCAGTTTGAATTGTCTCCATTTGGTTTGATTGGTCAGGAGAGACATGTTTGATCAGATGGTTTGGGGAAATCTCTGTCAAAGGTGCTTTAATTTCTTCATCTGGCTAATGAGAAAAAACATCCATGCTTGAGTGTATGAGTGGTCAGAGTGACTGGTAGAAACCTCTGATTGGCTAGTTTCTTAGATGAGGATTGTTGGATTGATCAACAATGCCCTCTTTTGGCAACATGTTGGTATTACAGTCATAAATGGGCTGAGCCCTATAGTCATGGGGGAAAGGTTTTAAGGCTAAATAAATGATAATTTCTTAAACTGCTTCAGTGTTTCTTTCTTTTTTCTTAACTGAAGGTTGGTAGTAAACATTGCGAAGATGGGAATTATTTTGAGAATTTTGCTCAGCTTAACTTGGCAAACCAAATGTATTTAGTCTCGTCCTGTCTTCTTCAAATGTTTTCCAGTTTACCCTGGAAAGAGAAATAACAACAATATTTCCAAACTCACATTTTGACAGCTGACATATTGATTAATAGATAATATGGTTCATGATATGATTTGTACCTCGATTGATTGAGCTTGGAACTGTCCCTCATAGGCTCTCGTCATTGAATGATGACCTGTATAACTAACCCCCCCTTCACTCAACACTGTCAGGTTTAATTAATGACTTCCCTTCCAATTCTCCACACACTCCCATGATCAATATAAAGGAAAGGTTCTGACTGTGAGGACATGCATTTCCCCATTGATGCTTTCCCGTCGCTACTCTGCCAGAATGAACAGAGTTCGCCGTTAGCTGAGACTTGACACTGACCAGGAAACTCTGGAGCTGATCTGTCAGCTACAATGCTGAATCGCTCCATTCTCCGTCACCCAATATATATACAATGTATTCTTCCCACTCTCTTACCTGCTCTGATGCTGAGAGGAAACCCTTTGGTACGATTACGGAAGAGGTGGTGAGGGGTGATGACGGCAACATGCGCTCATTTCCAGCTATCCTTTATGAGACCGACAGTAGGGTGTCTTCGAAGATCATTACTGCTGTTAAAACGGCAATGATTGCATCTGTGAGAAAAATCCAGAGCAGGTTTTTCTATGGCTTTGTGGACCAACATCCCAGTCGGTTACAACACAGCTGCTTTGTACCTCTCTGTTAGGACTTTTACCACAATCACTTTGAATCGAGCGTTCAAGGACTTCAGTCTCCACGCTTTACCCCTGCAGTTCAGACACTGTTTTCGCAGAGAGGCAGAGATCGCTGATACGTCCATTAGATTTTAAAGCCTGAAATCAGTTTCATGACACAACTGTTGATTTGTATCAGCAGAGGCTTATGGATGGATTAAAAGAATATCATATTGAAAATAATGAAAATGTTACAAAGAAGAATTGTAACAAGTTGTACAATATTTTAATAACCTAGAGTAAAATGTCTAGATATAAAATGTGACTCACTGGATATCAGGCTCTCATTAATGTGGTTTTTAATCATCTGCCCTGTAGGTGGATAAAAAAGTAAAAAAAAAAAAAAAGTATTAAGACATTTTTTACCCAGATAGTTTTGGTGGTCATGACAGATTCTGTAGGGGACAGGGGAGGTGGGATATAACCTCACCAGAATTGAAAGATTTCCTCTCCAAGCAAGATGGCTACACATTGTATACAGCTGCCGCAATACATTTTCCAAGAAACGGTATGTTTGTCTCAAAACCTTTGAAACTGTATCAAATGGATCTCTCTGACATGCAATCCCTATCAGACCTGAACGATGGGTTTAATTATTTATTAACTGTTATTGATGTGTTCTTAAAGGAATAGTACACCCAAAACATGATTAGCCTTCATTTTCTACTCACCCCCATGCTGAACAACACCCTGGAGTACTTTTTTGATATCTCAAATGCATCTGGAGATCTGGGAGGCTTCTTGCTGTCTGCTGACATTCAAATAATGGAGGTCTATGGTGCCCGAGACAGAAAGGTCCATAAAAGTCCACAAAAAACGTGTCAATATTCCTCCATACTGCTCGTCCAATGTATTCCAAGTGTCCTGAGCTGGTAGCATCCAGAATTTACTCGAAACGAAGTCATTTAGAATGTTTTTAGAGCATAAACAGTAGTGTATAGGATTTCCTGAAAGCTCGCACATGCGCGCTCACGACGCTACGGAAGCCGGCATATATATATATATATATATATATACCGTATTTTCACGACTATAAGGCGCACTTAAACGTCTTTTTTTTTCCTCAAAATGTGCGATGCGCCCTATGGTGCGGTGCGCCTTATGTGTGTTGTAACTGCGACTTTTGAGACCACCTCATTGAGGAGATGATGAAAGAGTGGCTGAATGTAAGGAGACCAGGTGTTTTTTTTCCACCCCTCACCATCGCTGTTAATATGTAACTCCATGCGTGCCCATCTCACAGCTGATGTGAAAAACATGGGGAAACAAATTAACGCTGCTCGACATCGGTGTGAACCGGACGCAGCAGGTGCAGCAGAAGCAGCGAGTTTACATGCAAAGTCAATGGTTGACGCGCATATAGGTGCAGCAAAAGGTCCCGCAGCGCGTTTTGGTGCAGCACGTCGGGAGCGTTTAAGCATCTGAAGCGCCGCGCTTCTGCTGCTCGAGATGGAAAAATTGAAGTTTTGCTGCTGGACGCGCCGCATCAACCAATCAGAGAAGCTGATCTGGGAGCTGCCAGCGAGACAGACAGCGCTCTGATGACATATGATATTAACGCAAATGGAAAAGGCTGGATGGATGTGTGGCTGAGGCAGGTGTATGTGAGAAGACTAGGTGGTTTTTTCCACGCATCACCATCGCTGCGTGCCCATCTCACAGCCGATGTGAAAAAAAGGTGAATCAAATGAACGCTGTGCTCGCCGTTATCCCGGGGGTCTGACAAAGGAGCTTCAACCGCTCGACATCGGTGTGAAGCAGCCGTTCGAAGTAAGGCTGCGAGCGGCGTGGGAGCGATGGATGACCGACGGAGACCACAGTTTCAGGATAAGAAGGCAGCGCCGGGCAGATTACGCCACAGTTTGCGGATGGATTGTAGATGCTTGGACTAAAGTGTCTGCTGGCTCTGTTGTTCAAGCTTTCGCAAAAGCCGGCATTATTTCTGAGGAGCTGCGCTGCACGGAAAGTGACTGACAGCGAAGAAGGGGAAACTGGCATGTCTGATTTAGCGCAGCTGTTTTATTCAGAAACAGAGGATGATGACTTTGATGGGTTTGATTAATACTTTGTAATAAATACATGAATAAAGCACAATCATACTCAGTTTTGCTCCCGCTGTATTTTTCTCCCTGAAAACTTAATTCAACAGCAGCCTCTGGGCGCGTCTCCTCCTCTACATCGCGGTGGCTGGCAGGTGTTTTTTCATCTAAATAATCTAAATCTTGCAGCTATATTTGCTGTGATCAGTGGGAATAAAGTAGTTTTAATATGTTTTTAAGTGAGAAAGTCCACCTGAAAACTTAATAATTGCAGTCAGTTCATCCAGATTATCTATTTCTGTCGGAGGCGCTCAGACCCCCACATACCAGCGGTGCGCTGACAGCAGAAATCTCTTCATCAGCAGCCTGTAGGCTGGGCAGCCTGGGGTTCACCGCGGCTGCTGGCAGGTGTTTTTCATCTAAATAATTTTAGCTGCAGGCACCAGGATACCGGCAATAAAAGCGAACATATTCCGTCAGCAGGTTTCAGGATTTTAAGTTAATTTAGGAGTGACCACAGCGCTGTGTCATCTGCGATGTCTGTCTCACGGCCAGCTGCCAGGTTTGATTAATACTTTGTAATAAATACATGAATAAAGCACAGTCATACTCAGTTTTGCCCCCGCTGTATTTTTAAATACGCAGTAGAGGTATTTAAAGGTAGTAGAGGACTTGTACCTGTATATAAGAAACGCGCCCTATAGTCCGGTGCGCCTTATGTGTGTGTTAAATACAGAAATGGGACACATAACTGAGAGTGCGCCTTTTAGTCCGGTGCGCCTTATGGTCGTGAAAATACGGTATATATATATATATATATATATATATATATATATGATGTTTTTTTTATTAACCTGATTGAGATCCAGAAGATAAAGATTGGGAAAGATGCATTTTATCGGGTTGAAAAAGAAACTGACTGGGGTGAAAAGCAGGTGCTTTTGAAATGGAGGAACTAGGCCCACCAAGTTACATAGCTTGGTGATGCTTGCTGAAGCAGCATTATTTACCCCTGCTCACATCCTAGCCATAGATCTATCGGGTGAAGATAAGTTCTATCTCAAGCTACCGAACAAGGCCATTCTGGGTCCATTTAAAAACAACACCAGCTCAAAATCTCTGGTTAATCTCGCCCAATATCATACCCCCATACATGGCATAATGTGCCTACAGGTTCAGCCTATTTCAACTGGCAGGAAAGGGACGGTTCAGCTGCCAGTTTATCCTGCCTAGACATTTTTTCGGACTTTAATCATGTGAGAGCTGAGGTCGAGAACAATTTGCAAAATCAGGGTCCCATATCTACCTTAAGATATACACGGTTACAAATAATATTTTATTTAGTACCATCTACGATTTTCCAAGCCATTAGTATACATTTTCCTAAGGCTGGGAGAATGGATGTTTGATTCAAGAAAAGGTCCAATCCCAATGGATTTAAAAGTGTTTAAATCATCTTCATTGTTACAGCAGTTGTTACACCTTAGATTAAGATATTAATCAATGTGTCAGC